ATGCTCTTTGATTTGATGAAATATATAACAGAAGTTAAACCTACAACACAACTTTATCGAAATCTTAAGAATATTTTTGAAGTCAGTACCACAGGGATATACAGTATGATATCATACATGAAGCAGAAGTCTCCGATAATGCCCCATCCATGGCTGTATGTTCTTTAAAACATTAAATTTGGGTTGATGAAGTTGAAGTTGAAGTTGATTAATCAAAATTATTGTATTTGAAAGTCAGCTGAAAGGGCAGGCAACAGATTTCCTCTGCTGGAGAAACAAAAACATTGAAGATGTATTGGCCTATTTGATATGGTCTTGTGAATTCTTGAAACTTCTCTGGAATAGCCTTTCAGTGGATATTTGTGGATTTATGTATGCATATTTATATGTTCAAGACGTTAACATGATGTTGTTATTGATGTAATCAGGGCTATTGTTTATCCTTGGATGCCCAGCATTATTTACTGCAGGTTTTTCTGTATTTTAATCCTTGTAAGCTGCCAAAAGTCTCTTGTATGAGATGAGCAGCTATATAAATCAAATAAATGAGTAAATGCTGAATTATATAACTAAGTTCTTCAATCTGCAAAGAATTATGGTGGTACTGTCCTTCCAGGTGGCAAATAAATTCGAGAAATTAGAAAAGTGGCCATTATACCAGAATTTACAGAGCAGCTTTTGAAAATGCAAATTTTTATCTGTTCTAAAAAAGGCAATATTTTCTACTAATCAAAGAATGAGCCAATATGCTTTTCTTTGGCATGACTTTATCACATTTTGCACCTGATTGTAATATGGTATTGTATGGTACATTTTTGTAAACCAGTGATAATAAATTCAATGCAAAAAGTAAAGTTTTTCTATTTCTTTTACTTTTCTAGTTGCTTTTAATTTTGGGAGTATTAGTGTCATTTTGTTCTTGTTGCATTTCTTGTTTATGTTTGCAGTCTTTGAAAATAACATTGAAAAAATGGTCCACTAAGGTCCTAAGACAGGGGTGTCAAACTTGATTTCATTGAGGGTTGAGTTTGGCCTTGGAGGGCCATGGTGGGTGTGGCCGGGGTGGGTGTGGCCATGGTAGCCCTGGCCAGCTTAACCTCATTCAAGTTGGGGACACCTGTGGTGGTCAAGTGGTAAGGCAGGACTTCCCTGAGACCCTCCCTCACTCTCATTATAATCCTCCTTCCTTCCTTCCTTCCTTCCTTCCTTCCTTCCTTCCTTCCTTCCTTCCTTCCTTCCTTTTCTTTTCTTCTTTTTCCTCTTCATTCTCCTTTCTTCTTCTTTCCTCTCTTTCCTTATTTTTCCTTCCTTGCTCTCTTCCCATCTTCCCATCTTTTCCTTTGTCTTTCCTCTTACCTTTTTTCTCCTTTCCTGTCCCTTCTTGGATGCTCAGATGCAAAAGGGGAAACATCGCTGGCAGAGGGCTGCAGGAGGCCGTCAGGGCCAAAAAGGGGGTGCACTCCAGTGGTGGGTTTCAAATTTTTTTACTACCGGTTCTGTGGGTGTGGCTTGGTGGGCGTAGCTTGGTGGGCATGGCAGGGGAAGGTTACTGCAAAATCCCCATTTCCTCCCGATCATCTGGGACTCGGGAGGCAGAGAATAGATGGGGGCGGGGCCAGTCAGAATTTTTACTACCAGTTCTCTGAATTACTCAAAATTTCCGCTACCGGTTCTCCAGAACTGGTCAGAACCTGCTGAAACCCACCTCTGGTGCACTCCATTTTCGCCGGCAGAGGCACTGTGGGCCGGTCCTTTGCTGTTTCCTGGCTGGCCCCCTGGGCTCGAACTAAGCATCCTGCAGACCGCATCTGCCTCGCAGGCCTTCAGTTTGACACCTAAGATCTCAACCATCGGATAGGATGGGGAGGAAGTGGGCTCTTCTGTCATCATCCGTTGTTCAGAAGAAGGTTGCCCCTGGGAGAAAACCATCTTCAGTGGCTGAGCATAGTTAGGCACCAGATCATCACTGGTTGACAGAAATGCACCATGCAGCAACCCCATAAAACTGCTCCTAGGCCAGCGAGGTTGCCCGTGGAGAAAACGGCTGCTGCTTTGAGATCGGCCAGTCATCGGTGCCTCTTTCTCCTGGAAAGCCAGTTGAGGAGGCTGGCTAGGCTGTCCTCAAGACGTATTTCTTGAGCCCTGCGGTGTAAATAAATTTGAAGAAAATGACTGCATCTGAATACAAAGAAAGCGCTGATGTGGCAGGAAGAAACAAAAGGAAACACAGGTTGCTCTGCCATTCCGTCCTTGACACGAGCCGTGACTGATAGCTTCATTTTTCTTCAATGTACCAAATTGGCATACAGAGCCGTATATATGGTTGGTTATTGCCACGTGTGATGTCGGAGGTCCTGAAGAGATGGCATGATGGACGAACGATGCTGTATGGCCAGATGGGTGCCAGAACTCTTGGCCTTTTCAACTTCAGCTCCCAGAATTCCTGAGCCAGCAAGGCTCAGAGTCAGCATGGCTGGCTCAGGAATACTGGGAGCTGAAGTACACAGATCATAAAAGGACCATAGCTCCACAGCCCTGCTGCATAGGAACAGAATAGAATAGAGCTGGAAGGGACCTTGGAGGTCTTCTAGTCCAGCCCCCTGCTCAAGCAGGAGAGCCTATACCATTTCAGGAAAGTGACTGTGTAGTCTTTTCTTTAAAACCTCCGGTGATGGAGCAGCCACAACTTCCTTTTTTTAAATATTTTTTTATTGAATTATATTCTAGTACAATACAAGTAAAATCGGTTAGACAGTCTTAATTTATATACAAATTGGATACATTCTTTTATTATAGTGTCTCATAATTTACCCATTTGTTCTAATATTTACACTATCTCTTATCCCTTCTTTATGCGATCTTCCATCCAATTATACCAAAGTCCCCACACCGTACAGTATTCCGAGTCCTCTTTCTCATTTATCTCATATGTTAGTTTACTCATCTCGGCACATTCTAAGTTTTTCTGAATTATATGTTCTTCCAGTGGTGTCTCCTTTCCTTTCCAATGCTGTGCGTATACTAATCTAGCTGCTGTGATGATATGTATAATTAAATACCTCTTTTTTTTCGCGTATTTTCTTTTTAGTACTCCCAGGAGAAAGGTTTCGGGCGCCAGAACTATTTTTTCTTCAATTACTTCTTGTATCCAATTTTGGATCTTTTTCCAATACTTCCAATACTTCATCGCTTCGGGGCATGGTCACACTTCCAGCATTTTGGGCTTATGTTTGGGTAAATTTTTGATAGTCTTGCAGGGGCTAGATGCCATCTATATAGCATTTTGTACTGGTTTTCTTTAAATGATGCTGCTTTTGTCAATTTATAATTTAAATTCCAAATTGTTTCCCACTCATCCAAATTTATACTATGACCTATGTTTTTTGCCCACGCGATCATTTGCTCTTTTACCACCTCTTCTGCCCTGTCGTATTCTAATAGGTAATTGTATAGTCTGGCTAGAATTCTTTTTTCCGGGCCTATCAATAATTTATCAAAACCATTTGTTCCCATCTCTATTCCAAATTCCTCCTTATCTTTTTGATGTCTCGATTTGATCAGCAAGTATGGCCACCGGTCGATGTGGATGCCCTGTTCCCTTAATAATTCATTAGTTTTAAGATTTCCACAGCTATCTAAGAGCTCTTTGTACCTAAACATTTTGTCAATTTCTAGTGTGTTGGGGTATATCATGGATTCCATTGTTGAAAGCCAATTCGGAACTTTCATGTATTGTTTTTGTCTAATTCCCTCCCAGGTTTGTATTAGCGCGTCCCTTGTCTTGTGTCTGTGGAAGTATGTTTTTTTCTTCTTTTCTTTGTCCCATAAGTAGGCATGCCATCCTCTTTGTAGGTCATGCCCTTCCAGAGTTAAGGTTCAACTTCTAGTGGCAAGCTGTTCCACTGGTTAATTGTCCTCCCTGTTAGGAAGTTTTTTCTTCATTCCAGGTTGTTTCTCTCCTTGATTAGTTTCCATCTGTTGTTGGAAGCCCATCCTCCATTTCCTCCTCCAATCTACCACATAGGGACTTCTGTCCTAGATAAACAAATAAATACAATAATCTGAAACCACTTGTAAACAATAAATCAAAAGTTCCTGATACTGACATGAGTTTCTCTCAAATAATATTAGCAGTAGTAGACAACTGGGGTTTTTTTCCCCCCTCCTTGAAGCTGGGCTGCTCATAATTCTCACTTTGATTCTAGAGTGGAACTGATTTGATAATCTCGGATGAAACCTACTTTCTGCTCACTTCACGAGTTATAAAAGCACTAAGCTTTTAAAGAACCGAATCCTATTTTCCTCCTCCAAGTCCATCAACATGTGATGGAAAGTTTGCAAGGATCTTTCCCTTCTGAACAGGCTGTACAGAACAACCAACAACCAATTCTCATAATGTGAAATCTGAGCCTTTTTTGCCCCTTTCTGTAAATTTCCTCTGCCTATTGTTGTTTATTCACAGCGTGCATTTTAATTGCAAACGCCCCACTGTTATTAAGACGGCTATTATGAAAGACACACACTTTTAACTTCAAATGTCCATGAATTATTAAGACCAGGGTTAGCAGCCGAAATATGTCATCGCATATAAAAGCCTGGTGGCTTGATTGTATCTTAAGATAGAAACAGAAAGAGCATCTAAGTTTATTTTTTTATTATTATCATTGTCATTATTATCACTATTATCATTATTATTCCCTGGGACAGAGGGAGAAAATGGGCACTTATTTATTTATTTTTTAAGCAAGTGGCTTAAGTCTCATGTCTGACCCACCACCCCGATTTTCCTCTCCTTCTACCTCCGGAGGATGCCAAGCGCGGGCAGCCTTCTTTGGGAAAACCGGGCGTGGCTCCCCCCTCCGCCCGGGCCAATCAGGCGGCATCCGGAGAAGATTGATGAGGGGTTGCTAAGGAGACAGCATCCTCTCCCTTTCCGAGGGACCAGAGACGGGATTTGCTCTCGCCGGACAGCAAGTTCAACAGCTGGAGCGCCAGCTCGCCAGGGGCTGCCGGCCGCGCGTGCGGGCTGGGGGGGCGTGCACGCCTGGGTGTGGGGGGCTCCCAAGGCCGCCCTCCAAGAGCGAGCCCCCCGCTTCCCGGTCCCCTTCCCCAAATGGCCCCGGAGAGCGGGAGGCGGCGGGGGAGGCGGAGGCGCGCCCTGGGCGCAAAGGCGCTGCAGCAGAGCGCATCCCCGGAGAGAAGCTGAACTTCTCCCGCCGGGCGAGCCGGGACGGAGGGCGAGAGCTGCTTGCTCGGCCGCCGCTCTTGCCTGCCCCGGGGCCCTGGAGGAGCTGCGCCCCGGAGCCCGGCCAGGAGGAGGCGAAGAAGAGGAGGCCGAGGAGGAGCGAGCGGGGGACCCTCCCCGGCGACCCCTCCCCACCGCCTGCCTGCCTGCCTGCCTGCCTGCCTGGGCGTCCGAGGAGAGGCGGACGGGAGGATGACGGGGGTGGGGACGCCTGCCGGGAGCCCAGCAGCGGCGGCGGCGGCGGCGGCGGCAGCAGCTCCGGCCAGGCACGGTAAGCAGACCGCCCCCCCCCCTCCTCCCCTTTCCAGGCGGCCGGGGAGGCTTTGGAGCGGCTCCACCTGGCCCGGGCTGAGCAGCGGACACCTGTCTCCCGGCTGCTGCGGCGGCTTTGGGGTGGGAGCCGTGGCTGGGCTGGTGCAGAAGCCTTTCCCCCCTCCTGGGGCTCTTTGGCTTTTGAATTCGCCTGCCTGCATCCCGTGCCTTCTCCTACTTTGGGGAGAGGAAGCCCAGCGAAGAACTCTTCTTACGTAATATGCGGGTTTGGGGGTTTTTTTGGGGGGGGGCACGTTTTCTAGCGGAGTTCAGTAGCGGTGCTGTTATTTTGGCTGAGATCCCGCGCAGGTTGTTATTAAGCACTTGCGTTCTGCTGGGATTGGGTTCGAGTAGGGTTGTGGATTGAATAACTGTGTTGTTTTGGTAAGCTCCTATCATGCCAGGACTTTATTGGTGCTTATTAGTCCCCTGTAATGAATCCTCTTTATTATCTTGATAACTATCTTGTAGGCTGTTGGGAAGAAAGATATGGGGAGTGGAGTCAGCGTGAAATAATATTTCAGGTCTTAGTGGGGATCAAGGAACTGGGTCTCATTTTGGCTAAACTCGGGTATGGATGAAGTCCCTTTTGGGGGTTATGGACAGGCTCTCTCTGCTAGGAAGTGCCCGAAGTTTTTGTGTGGCAGTTGGCAAGTGCGGTAGATTTAGCACAAAGCATCTCTAGAGAACAGGTATTCTGCAGTGGAGGTGGGGAGAGGGACAAGAGGGAAGAGAGAGAGAAGCAGGGGCTGGAAAATTGCATGTATAGAAACAATATTTGGGGAGAAAAGACATGCCAAGGAGGGTGGAAATAACGGGAGGCTTGAATATCAGGATGATTTGGCTTTTCAAGGAGAGAGGGAGGGAGGGGAGGGAAAGAGGGAGAGAGAGAGATTAAAAGATGCTAGTAGTGTAGAGTTGGTCTTTGTGCCTCATGGTTTGGGTAGAGTAACATGACAGCATAATATTAAACCCTGACATGATGGTTAAACACAGAGTTTCAGCCTGGTTATTTCTTGAAGCTTCCTTTATTATATGATAGAGGTGTTTCTCCCAAATCAAGTTGATAGGTGAAGAAGCATTCCTTTGGGAAGGCCTCTTGTAGTTGGCTCTTGGGTCTCCCTTCCTGTCAGGAGTTCATCTATGGGGAAACATCCTAATGGATCTAATGTTTCCATTAGACATCATATCTTCTGTCCTGCAAAAAAATCTGTCCTTCCACAGCAGTCTAAACTGGAGAGACCCATTGGATCTCTGCTTCCCGTGGGGATTTCAGATCAACAGATATTCTGGTACAACCCACACAACGTGTCCTGCTCCCCATGGATTTCAAATTATTTATGTACTACCTGGTGTCCACGAAGCCGTGAGCCTTTGAACCTGACTTCCTCTGTTTCTATCCTACAACAGCTTGTATTACTGTTGAGTGTGTGTCCCTATTCTGTTTGATGTTCCTGACTGGGTAGAAAAGGGTCGCTTGCCTTGAAGGGCGAAAATGCCACCTTCTCTATGCTTCTGTGGGACTTTGAGAATAGGGCATTGTGTGCAATTTTTTCCCTCCAGAAGGTGACATGCATTATGGTGATTTCATTTGATTTTTATTTTTTTTTTACAAAATCATCTCAAACAAAGATCAATACCATTGCTTGCAAAAGGAGCTCTTAGCTTCATAGTGTATCTCGGGAAAGCAGGTGTACATTTTCGTGTCTTCCTTTCCAGCAGGTGTGATCAGCTGAACTGGGGTGGGCGTGGATGCTTCATTTTTCAGTCTCTTCCTTCTCTGAAAGGAAATTCAACTGGCCTGAATGGGACAGCAGCACCATAGCACGAATTTACACACCTATAAATATTTTTTCCCTCCTGGTCATATGTCCCTGCTAAGCTGTTCACCGAATGTAGGAGTCGCCTGATCAAATATCTTGCCACAGAACAATGACAAAACACCCATTCCTCTCCCTTCCACAGGATGGAAGATGCTACCTGCAGATTTCAGTCGTAGCAATCAAAATAAAAGAATGCTATTTTAGGAAAACCAGGAGGTTTAAAACAGTCTCGCTCTGTGTGTGCGTGCGTGTGTGTGTAAAAAAGCATTTCCAATAGTAAAACCATCTTTCACTTTCAGAGAAGATCAGAAATTAAACATTTTTTTTGTTTCACTGATTGGGGAACAGAACCATGAAACTGCTAATGCATATAATGAGATACTTCAACTGTTTATAGTCCTTTATTAAAATACCTTCTAGCATCCAGGAATTATCCATGGCTTTAAGGTCAACTGTCATAGAGAAAGGCAAGATTTTTTTTAAAAAAAATTGATTTATATGCCGCCCTTCTCCAGAGACTCAGGGCGGCTTACAATGCATTAAGCAATAGCCTTCATACTTTTGTATATTTTTACAAAGAGAAAGGCAAGATTTTGTTCCCTTCAAATCCGATTAAATGGAGACCGATATAAATAAAAATAAGTATGACCAAGAAATTCTAAAGTTATAGCATGATAGAGTATGCATGGCCCGGGTTTATCTGTAATATCTTCTTGGTTCTGGAGTAGAAGATCCCCCTGGGTACTTCAGGCTAAATTGGGAGATAATAACAGAATCACAGAGTTGGAAGGGATCTTGGAGGTCTTCTAGTCCAACCCCTTGCTTAGGCAGCAATCCCTATACCATTTCAGACAAATGGTTGTCCAATCTCTTCTTAGAAACCTCCTGTGATGGAACACCCAGCTGGGAGGAGGGATATTTTTTAGCAGAATAACAAGGAAGAATCCTTGGAGGTTTTCCAATCCAAACCCCCTGTTCTAGATGGAGACTCTACACTACAGTCTATCATTCTGGACAAATGGCTGTCCAGGCTCTTCTTGAAAACCTTCAGTGATGGGAGCACCCACGACTTCTGGAGGCCAGTCATTCCACTTAATTCCACTTGGAATTAATCCAATTAATTGTTAATTGTTCTGACTGCCAGGAAATTCCTGCGTAGTTCCAGGTTGCTTCTCTCCTTGATTAGTTTCTTTGGGGCAGCCCCTGAGATACTGGAACACTTCTATCATGTCACCCCTAGTCCTTCTTTTCAATAAACTAGACCTACCCGATTTCAACAACTGTCCCCTAATTATCTTTGTTGCTCTTCTTTGCACTCTTTCCAGAGTCTCAACATCTAAAAAGAAGAAGAAAACAAAGGCAGACTTTTCTTCTTCTAAGAAAATTAGAAGCATGCATAGTTTGAAGTTTGCTTTCTAAAGTCCTTTAGAACATTTTGCTACTTAGTAGAAGCCATGCGTAGAAGTGCATTTGAAGTGGGTGTGGGGAGGAAGCAGATCCTTTAAGTGTGGTGCCTCTTGGCAAGCAGATGCTGAAAGCTGGCACTTGAAATGAAGTGAATGCTCTCCCTGGAGGGTGTTAAACCTGGCACATTCGCAGACTAAATGTTACAGTCAACGCTAAGCAACCATGTGAATTAGCCTTCACCCAAAGGTTTTGACGGGTCTCAGTTCTGGGTGGCTTTTAAGCGATCCAGTCCACTTCTAAGTATCAGCATGTATACATTTCCTATTTTTCTTGTAGCCACAACCACAAAGAGATAAGTCTAAAAATTCAAGGAAGTAGTCAATTAACATTAATTAATTGAATCATAAGCTTCCCCTTCCCCCATCTTCCATAAAGTAAAGCTTTGCTCATCCACCTCTCAGTGATTGAAGGCAAAGCTCTTTAGCAAGCATGCATAAGGCCAACAGGTATCTCTTCTGATATCTGTCAATCCCAAACCTCAGATCCTAGTGTAGCAGAGATCCTAGTGCATTAGGATCTCTTCTCTTCTCTCTCCCTCTCTCTCTCTCCCTCTCTCCCTCCCTCCCTCCCTCTCTCTCTTTCTCTCGCTCTCTAAAAGTAGATGGATGATTTTGGCATGGGCGATTTTAATCCAGTTGTTTTTAAACCTCATAGCTCCTTTCCCTCTCTAAAGAACTGCCCGACTAGGAGGGTGGGGCTCTTTTCAGCCAAAGAAAACTTTAGGCATTTCCTGATCTTATTATTCAGTGAAGGTCATCCTTGGCAAATAAAGGCAGGGACGGTCGGGACTGATAGAAGCAATTGTGCATCACAAATTGTCTTCCCACCTGGATGGCCATGGCTGCTAAGCTGGAGGAAGCAGGATAAGTTCATTGGAGGTAAGATAACTTGATGAGCTAATAAGAGGAGGAGAGGGGAGGGGAGAGGAATGGCAGGAAGGGGAGGGGAAGGGAAGGGAAAGGAAGGGAGAGGAGAGGGGAAAGAGAGGAGATGAGATTGGGGAGGGGAGAAGAGAGGAGAGGAGAGGTGGAGAGGGGAGAGGAAGGGAAGAGAAGGGAGGGGAAGGGAGAAGAGAGGGGAAGGAGAGGAGAGGTGGGAAGGGGAGGGGAAGGGAAGGGAAAGGAGAGGGGGAGGGGAGGAGGGGAGAGGAGAGGCGGGGAAGGGAAGGGAAGGAATGAAAAGGGAAGGGAAGGGAGAGAAGAGGGGAAGGGGAGGAGGGGAGAGGGGAGAGGCGGGGAGGGGAGGAGAAGGGAAGGGAAGGGAGGGGAGGGGAGAGGAGACGAGAGGAGAGGGTAAAATCTTCCTGTATAAACACTCCCTAGTCCTCATGGTACACCATGAGCCATGCGGTGAGTGGTTCCTTCAAGCAGGAGATCTTTGTTGTGTCTGTATTTTACACCTTCCGTTTTCCCTCTTCCCATAAATAATACCGTTTCTTTATTGCACCAATCTTCATTTTCCAATCAGTGACAAAATTCTGGCAGGCTCATCTTTAGTTCTACCAAGAGTCATCCTCAGGGCCCCTCCATAGTGTAAACACTTCTCCACTCTGAGGTACTTTGCTAGCTTAAAGCATCTGTCAGTCAAATCTTTATTGGGGTCACAGACTTCGCTGTCTTTTGGCTAAGCTCAAGCGTAGTAAAGCATCCATTGCAGCCCTGACATTTAT